TTCTAAAAAGTGTAGCTCGCAAACAGAATCATAACTAGACAGTACTTTATCAGCCCTAGGAATCAAATGCTGCCATTGATCTAAACGTTTAGGATCCTATAAAAAATATTTGCAATGACTAAATTGGAGTTCAATAAAGAAAAATAACAGTAGTAACTCTTCATCTAACATCAAAAAACATAAAAAAAGCAAATTTTCTTTTCTAGTAAGTTAAATTTAATGTATAATTATTGTTGTTTGTAAGTCAGGATTTATGACTTTATTATTTTTTATTATAGAATTTTGTAATGAAATAAACTTCACTCCGTAAGATACGGGTTGTGACTATTTTACAATAAATATATATATATTATTTAGAAATAAAAACATTATTTTACTTACACTAGGAGCTTTAAAAAGACTTGGATTTTTATCTCCTTGTGTTTTCTTTAATTTTATATTGGATTTATATTCCGTTTTTCAACCCGGAACGAAGCAAATCCTGCTTTGCCGTTTTTTGTTACTCATTGTCAATTGTAGTCAGGTTTTACAAAAATCACTTTAATTCCCATTGACTTGCATAGAAAATAGACGTTGTTATTTTGCCACCCGCCAACTACAGTAGTTTTTTGGAACTCCATAAAAATAGGGACGGAAATTTGAAATTTGGCCAAGGCCGATTCGCCTCCTTATCTCTAGTCTTCATAGGACAAGTTACCCCACTCCATTTTTTTGCGGGAACTGCTTTGTCGCTTCTCTATGGTTGTTCTTCTCGGCTCTTGGTATGTATCCAAAGGCCAGGCTACTTCTGAGGATGCTGCAGAGCCTTCTGTATAAAATATCAGGCCCTCTTTGTAGCACTATTGGGTAAATCCCGTCAATTCCTGGTGATTTGTATTGTTCAAATGAGTTGATTGCTCATTTTTAACCGACTTCAAAGGAGGAGGTTCTCAATTCGTCGTAATATATATTTTTTAATGTATGTTCAGCGATAATTCTTTAATACAGAGTCCGATTTCAATGATTCTTTTTTGTTAGAAAGGTGATACTTCAGGGGTTGTCCCATATCAATTTGGTCAAAAACAAATAATGGGATCTATGAGAAAATCCTCAAACTCTTCAGTTTTTATGTATGGTCAGCGATAATTCTTTAACGGTGTCCGATTTCAATGGTTCTTTTTTTTTTTGTTAGAGAGGGGTACTTCAGGGGTGGTCTTATATAAATTTGGTCAAAATCTAATAATTGAGTCCATGAGAAAATCCTCAACCTCTTCATTTTTTATGTACGTTTATCGATAATTCTTTACTACCATGTCCGATTTATATAATATTTTTTTTGTTAGTAACGGGTTACTTCAAGTGTGGTCCCATATAAATTTAGTCAAGATGTGGTGATGGCATCTGCACGATTTTAAAGTCTGTTTTTTAAACGTACTGGCTAGCCGACCGCCGGCGGTAGTTGAATTTAATAAAACGAAAACCGTCTTCCGGCGGCATGGTCTTATATATAAGAAAGCCGCCGAAAATCTAAACTGATTTGTTGATGAGGGCGGTAGGCTATCAGAGTATTGATAAGGCCGCCGGACGACGGTCTACTGTATTTGAAAAAAACTCGCGTATCGGGGACAACACTAATCATTTGTAATTGCTGTGGTGGGAGGTGTTTGTGTGAATGCGTCTTGTTTATTTTCATTTACCTACTCCGCGACTAGTAGTAGTATTTTATAAACCTTAGATGCAAATTTCACATACATGAACAAATAATAATAATGCCGTGACAACAAGAAGACGAAGTAACGACATCTTGTAGGGTGGCGGCTTCGCCGCCACCATAAAATTTCAATCCATACCTGACTACGCCGACCGGCATAAACACCAACGGCCTGGACACAGCTCATCTACTCTGTTAAAAGGAGACCGATGTACAAATAAAACGTGTACGACATATGATCATTTGTCACAAAAATGTAGACGATATTACAAGTAGGTATTTTTTCTTACCACCGGCATTCAATGTTTTAAATATAGTAGACCGTTGTCCGGCGGCATTTTTCAACTCACTGATAGCATGCCGCCCTGATCAACAAATGTTTAGATTTACGGCGGCTTTCCTGTATGAAGAAGACCATGCCGCCGGAAGACGGTTTTCTTTTCAACAAATGCAAGCACCGCCGGCGGTCGGTTAGCCAGTATGTTTTTTAAAATTACTTTTAATACTTTTAGTCTGCCGTAATCTACCATTTTTTTGACAGTCTGCCAATTTCCCTGTTGGATCCTTTGCAAGCTTCCAGTCTAATTGGACTCCAGATTATTGGTGTATGTTCTATGGTTTGTGGCCCAGGAAAACGAATCCTAAAGGGGTTTCTTATCGTTCTTGTGTACTCTCCTAATTCGTTCTATTAGGTGGACTTTAATAATTATGTTTTGAAATATACTACAACTACAAAATGTTTCCATCATTCCCAAATAGGTAAAGCTGCCGAATACTTTATTAGAATAAATCGTAAATCATCTTACGTGCTTTTTTTATACAGGGTGTTAGTATATTCGACCAACAATACAGAGAGCTCTCATTAGTTGATGAATTTTGATATACGAACATGAACTCTTAAAGAGCTTAGTTACCGAGATACAAGGTGTTAAAAGTTTTAAAACAAAATTCAAAATTTGTCATAAATCAAAAACGTCTTTAAATTTTTTTTTCAAATTTGATACACCAAGATCTTTTTAAATACAAGAACTATTAACAGTTTGACACATGCTTACTAGATTAGAATTGAGAAATATTGAGTCGAAACAAATTACCTAAGTACATGCAGACTTGTTTAGAACCAAATATCTGCAACACCGTTCACTTTAGCTCCATAAAAGTTTTTTTTCTTTTTAAACTAAAAATTAACAAAGAATTAAAAAAAATTAATAATAAAAAATAAAAAAAGTGTGTTCCAGTGGCGTAAAAAATAAGGGTGAAAAGTTGCCACTTACCTTAATAGCGTTAAATTTTTCAAAATATTAGTCACCAAATTTGAAAATAGATTTAAAGGCGTTATTGATTTATGGCAATTTTTGAATTTTGATTTCAAACTTATAAGGACCTGTATTTCGGTAACGAAACCCTTTAAGAGTTCATGTTCCTTTATTAAAATTAATCAATTAACGAGAACTCTGCGTTGTTGGTCGAATATACTAATTAAAATAATTCAAATAAGTAATTTTTTTATGTTGATATCGCTTTTCGTTTTTGATTCCTTTTTTTTTTCTTCTTTTTTTTTCTTTTTTTTTTCCTTTTTTTTAATTTCAACCTCCCTTAATCCCCCATTTTTATTCATTTTTTTTTTTTTTCAGAATCAATAGGCTTCATCCCCTTATAGAGCTTGATTGTTACTAAAATTTTCATGTTTATATTACTTTTTGATTTGTTTTTTTTTTTAATTTCATCCACAGTAAATTCCTCATTTTTATTCATAGGCTTCGTTTGTTTACTAAAAAATTTAAGTATCAGTTTTCGTTTTTGAGTTAGGATTATTTTAAATATTTCAACATCCTTAACCCCTAATTTTATTTGTTTTATCTATGCTTCATCCCCTCATAAAGTTCATGTTGATATTGCTTTTAGTTTTTGATTTATATATTTTTTTTAATTTCAACCCCCCTTAACACCTCAGTTTACCTATTTTGTGAACCCCAAATATTTTGGCCACAAGCTGCCACTGATGACGAGGCTCATCTGTAATATTCAGGTTTTGAATCTGGTATGCACCTTTTATTGCAACATTGCGTCGTCGGTTTACAAGCAAAACATACAGATTTTTTATTTTTGTCTTATTTACATCATTTGACTGGATTTCTTCCGCTCTATATACTGGTAAAATCCAGAATCTAAGAATTATGACCTTATTTTTTAATTATTTTCATATTCATTAAGTTTATAATAGCATTATTTTGTTCAGGAAAAATACAATAATTGACTAAATGGATTTTATCAAATCTGACTTAGTGTTTTGCTTGTAAGCTGACGATTGGTTTCTTTAAATAGTAAACTGTAATATATGGTACACTCTAGTGCTAAAAATACATTTCTATTACAATTAACGTCACTTCAGAAGAAAGCTGAGACATTATAATATTTTGGGGTATACGTCTTCTTATTAAACACTACTTGGGCATTTTATGTACACCTAGACACTAATACTTTTAGAATTAGTTTATAGTTGGTTTATACTTGCACCAAGCTTAGACTTGTGAAATAATCGGTTTATTCATATTTATATTCATTCTTTATTTCATTCTATTTGTATTTGTAATTTTTTATCTATCCATCTATTTGTCTATATAGAGCCGCTCGTATCATTCAGCATTTACAAGAAGAAATAAACTTTTGCTTGAACACCCTCCCTACACACCTGATATGCTCCCAGCGACTTTTATTTATTTCCCAAAATCAAGGATCAACTGAACGGATGAAGATTTGACACTTATTTGCAGCTTGGAAAAGTGCTGTTTCCGGTTTGGACGAAGGCATAAATGCATTCTTATTATATATAATATATCGAAATCTCAAAACTTTTTTTAAGTCTGTATAGCCAACGAGCAGATTTGTGACTTATTTTCTTATGGATAAATTTATTATTAAATTGTACTATGATACGTGTCCAACGAATTAACGAAATCGCGACGTTCAATCTGGGACGCTTAGGTAGCGAGAGTCATTACAAGTGGTAAGTGCCTCTCAAAAACTTGACTTATTTTAACATTTGTGTCATGCTCATTCGGCGATAAGTGCCCACCTACAAAAAATATTAAACCGTCCACCACGTACCACTTGTAATGCATATAGCTATCTAAGCGCCCCAGTTTGAACATCTCGCTTTCATGAATTTGTTGGACGTATCATAGTACAATTTAATAATAAATTCAGCCATAAGAAAATAAGTCACAAACCTGCACGTTGGCTCTAGGATTAATACTGGAAACCCTCACGAAAATAGTATGGCATTCGATTTTTAAATTTTTATTTATAGTTGCTGCTTTTCATTTAAAATATGATGAAATGAAGATGGATCCAAATGTCGAAAAATGGGCAGTAACGGTAATACAACTTTCTAGGACAAAAAGACATTTAGACAGAGCTGCTCTTATGGTTTTTTGGGAAAGATTAGACAAGTAAGTAATAAAGATTTGGAAAATCAAAGTGCTCAGTTTGACAATTTTCCTTTTTTTTAGGCATATCATTCAATATAAACCACATTTAAGATGGTAAACGGAAAATAATTAAATTCTCTTTAAAGATGTCTTCTAATGTTTTTTGGAGTGATTTTCCAAAAATATGTTTTTCTGTTAATAAAGTTAGTTTCGTTATGTAAACTATTATGAAAATTTATATATTGATTCTGTATATAATAAATAATTTAAGTAAATATACCAAGCATTTTTTATTAAATATTTTAAAGTTTATTTCTAATTACAATATAAATTAAATTACTCACTCCTTAGTTATATTAATTCATGATTTTTGATTTTTTCACCATGGCTTGTGACTATAGCCTGTGGCGTTTTCATCCTGCCTATAAGACTTGCCCCCCTGGTCTTTTTTTGAACGGCGCCCATGATGGTAATGTATTACACGGATAACTCGCTTTTGTATCCTAAAAATATCTAGCATCTGTGCTTGATCCCCATAGCAAAATACCATGTAAGTGGCTCTCGAGTAGAATTTGAAAAAATAAAATATTTTGGCCATGTTGCTGTTACCATTTTTGGCGATGATAGATCCTCAATCCATAGCAAGTTTTATTTAACTGCTTAGAAAAAGAGTAAGTGGAAAAAAATATTTAATGATTCGTCGAGATAGATTCCAAGACATTTAGCATTCTATGATAAACGGTATTTGACGATTATTTAAAGCGGCGTTTTCCTAGCAACGCACATTTTACGCAGCGTAGAACGTAATATGGCCGACGCAACGCAACATCCAACGCGTTGCGTAAAAGTGTTTTCCTAGGATTGTCAATTGCGTCCTGATCATCTCGATGAGTGGGTCAAATAATTGTAAAAAGAAATTAGCTTTGGCATTTTTAATACTGCAAGATGAAATTTTGTAAAAAGAAATTGACATTATAACCACGATTCATAATAGCACTAGAAATTCTGCTGATCAATTATTTCAAAACAGAAGCAGCGAAGGAGCATTTAAATTGCTTATCCATAGACACCTGCTCGACGACGAAGTAAAATTTACATCATATCTTCGAGTTACAAGGCAGCAATTCTCGTTTCTCCTCGATCTTGTGAAAGAAAATTTAAATATGGAACCATGTAATCGTGTGCGACACCCTATTTCGTCAGCAGAAAATCTTGCACTAACATTGAGGTAAATAATACATTTGTTTTCAAATAATCAAACATTTATTTTTCAAAGCCATACATTTTTCAAAAATACTTTTTATTTAGATATAAATAATGTTCATAATTCATAGAATGAATTCGCATAGTGCATTTTCAGATAAATTCATATTCGGTGTGAGTGAAGCCAGGGACGTATTGGAAACATATGTGTGAGAAGATAATGCTGAGCTAGGTCGAGTATAACTTTCATTAAAGGAAGACATCTTGCTTTCTGATTTCTTAGTTCAATTTGTGTTACCACATTAAAAATTTTCATCTTAGCCTCGATTACATCATCAGGCTGAAATTTTTTAACCGTAGCAACTAAGCTTTTGAAAAGAAGATCAATTTCGTTTTCTTCACTGGACTCCATTAATTTGTCAACGTATTTCCCGAGTTGTTGCCTCTCCTGTTCCTTGTTTTGTAATAATTTTAATAGTGTGTCATTTGGTATATTTCTCTTTGTTAAAGGACTGAATAAACTTGAAACTTCAGGCTTATCTTTATCAGATTTAGAAAACCCGGACGTTTCTCTTTTCCTTTTATGTTTATTTTCAATGAGTTGTTCTTCGACAGTATCATCAGTTTCAGTTCTCTCTTGTTCATCACCGGCTGTACAACTATTATGCGGCTTGTCCTGATCTTCATTAGTTATGTCAATTTCGGGCGATTGTATATTTGATTGACTTCTGAGACAAAACAATATATTGTTAAAAAATCGCTTCGTAAGAATATATTTTATTTACTCTCGCTCATCTTCCACACCATCCAAGAACCTCAATCTATCCCAGTAAACAGCCCGTTTCTTCGTACCAACAGACCCAGTAGGGGTATTTTTTCCTAATTTCCTTTGTCTTTTATAATGATCACGTACACTCTTCCATCGAGATTTGCATTGTCCATCTGAAAATACATTTTTTAAGTAAATAAAAAAAATTAAATGGTGTCAATTTTTTTTTTTTAGATTCCTTGCTACAGGTGAGTCGTTTCGTTCGATGTCATTTTCCTACCGCTTATCACCGTCAGCAATATAGAAGTTCGTTCCAATAGTTTTAAAAGCACTCAAAACTAAACTGCAAGTTTTTACCACCTGTTTCTCAAATAAATTGAGAAGAAAAATCAGAAGAATTCTAGCACCGATGGAATGTTCCAAATTGTTTAGCAGGAAAAGATGGCAAACACGTTAGGATTATAGCGCCAGACAACACAGGTTCCCTATTCCATAACTATAAAAATCTGATGTGTCCAACACATGACTTTCCTATCTAGTTTTTATAGGCTTTTTCCGGTTATTTTGTACAACCTATTGCAGCATCTCTATAAATGTTTAGAGGATAAACTAAATATATACATTGTCCACATACATCTACCTCGAAACATTTTTCTATAGATATTCATTGAAAACGAAAATACTGAAAAATTTAAATTTAGCACTTTTCCATTACGGTCCATTTTAGTAAAATCATGTATAAACAAAAATTATAGAGATCGATATGGCAAACAACTTTTAGTTCAACAATTTTCATAAAAATCAGAATTTTGCACATTTTGTCAAATTTCTCGAATACGGACCATTTCAGGAAATTTTGACATAAAACAAAAATTATAGACAATAATAGAAGTAACTTTTATTTGAACAATTTTCTTCTCCAAACATAAATAACAGATATATTCCATAAAATATAAAAACGGCTTCCCATAAAGTACCCCCCCTAGATGTTCCGACTTTGTCCAAAATCTAATCATTTTACGTCAGGCCGAAATAAACCTTAAGTTTAAAATTTAATGTTATTTTCTTTATCCGTTTTTGAGTTTTCTTCAAAATTCTAAATTTACACATTTTCTCAAATATCTCGAATACGGTCCATTTTAGAGAAATTATGTATAGAATAAAAATTATAGAGAATTATATTACAAACAACTTTTGTTTGAACAATTTTTATAAAAAAAATATTTTTTTGTCAAACTTCTCGAATACGGACCATTTTAGGAAAATTTTGTATAGAACAAAAATTATAGATAATTATATTAGAACTAACTTTTATTTGAAGAATTTTCTTCTCCAAACGTAAATAACAGATATATTTCATAAAATATAAAAATGACCACCTATAAAGTACCCCCCCAGATGTTCCGACTCTGCCCAAAATCTAATCAGTTCATTAGACGCTGGAATAAAGCTTAAGTTTAAAATTTGGTGTTTTTCTGTGTATCGGTTCATGAGTTATGCGACCTACAGACACACACACACACAGACATCATCGCGAAAATAGTCAAAACGGATTCAGGGGACCTCAAAACGTAAAAATCCGTCGAAAACTCGAGGTCGAAAAAAATCATGATTCCTATACTTTCCTTATATCTGTATACAGATAGGAAAGTAAAAATTACTTTTCAATTGTTCTTCTTGCTATGGTGGATGCAAAGTATACATTCGTTGGTATTGATGTGGGATCTTATGGCAAGGAAGGAGACGCTGGAATCTTTAACAAATCAGAAATGGTAAAGCAAATCACAAACGGACATTTTTTCCTCCTCCGATATTCTTACCAGGCTCGAATATTCTGTTACCTCATGTAATAGTAGGCGATGAGGCTTTCCGATTAGATAAACATGTCATAAAACCTTATTGTCGGAGACAAGCTGTACAAGATGGTGACAAAAAGAGGTTCAACTATCATCTATGTCAAGCAAGAAGGGTGACTGAAAACGCTTACGGCATAATGTGTTCTATATTTCGAATTTTTTTACGACTATTAATGTAAAAGCTGAGACAGTTGACCTAATTATTTGGGTATGTTGTTGTTTACACAACTACTTAAGAGAAGAGTCCGTTGATCGTTGCGCCCCGTTTAATCACACAGAAGATACGTATGAATTGCCGGCGCAGAATATGATACCATTGCCTGGAGTAGGAGGATTTGCGAATTCCGAAGGATTTGAGGTTAGAACCCAGTTCAAATACTACTTCAGAAGCAGATGCAGAAATGAATATGTGCCGCAGCGCTGTTTCAGGGTGACCCATTTAAAACAGTCCACCTAAAATATTTTCCTATAAGAATTTTTTTGGGAAATCCCCGAGACCTGCCGATTTTGACTTCAAGGGTGATAACTTTTGTCATTTGTCACCCCTCACCCCAGTTTTTGTTTCCGCAAGAGGGCGCTAAAATAAAAAGTTGCAAAGGAAACATTTATATGGTTAAATTCCTTATAAAAATACCTTTTTATTGATGTATCACACTCAGTACTTTCCCTATTTAAATTCTCTTGGTGGCAGTGATAGAAGGGTGGGGGTGATCTATGACACTTGAGGATATGATAGAAAGTTGTCCCCCTTGAAATCAAAATCGACCGGTCTCGGCGATTTCCCAAAAAAATTCTTATAGGAAAATATTTCAGGTGGACTGTTTTAAATGGGCCACACTTATGGTATAAATGTATGTAGTATGCAAAATAACATTGTAGGTACTCTAGATATAATTGCAAAATAAATCTTACAAAAAAACAATAAAAATTACCTGATTTGTTTAACATTTTGTCCATTTCATTCCAGATTGTGTCCTTTTTCACTACATTTTTAAATTCCTTCAGTTTCATATCCCAAAGAATAGGATAACCACTAACGACTTCAATTAATTGTTCGTCCTCAGTAGCACTAAAACGAATTTGTTGTTTTTGTGAAGTCATTTTGTTACAAATTAGCACATTCCTTTTAAAACGCAGCGTACGACTGAATAGACTGCTCTCCGAGCAGTCGTCCCATTGCGTCCACCGTATTACGCGACTCAAGTCGTTTTTGCGCCCTGTAGGAAAACGACTCCATTTGATTTTCATTAGACATGTCCTCAGCGTTTTACGCCGACCGAATTAAGTTCTACGCCGCGTAAAATGTGCGTTGCTAGGAATACCCCGCTTTAGTTTCGAAAAAAACTGGTTTTATCAGGATTGAGGATTTGTCTCGAGTTTATAAACCATCATTCCGCCAAAGAAAGCACCTTAAAGTTAGTTCTGGAAAATTTGATGCTTCAACAAATTGAGAGCTATCGTCTGCATATTTCATTTTGATTATTTGACCTTCGTTGATGAACGTACTTGGGTTAATTATGTACAATATAAAAATTAGAGGACCAAGGAGACTCCCCTGGATATATCTATCCAATGCTTATGACTGTATGCACAGACTAGTTTTAATGTACGCCACTGATGTTTTAATCCAGCTTAGTTCTTTATTTCTAACTCCGAAATTTAGTTTTTTATATAAAATATGGAAATCTGCACAGATCTGGACAGTTTCAGAAAAATTCCACAAGAAACATTTTCGGCGTTCAGAGAGTTATAAATGATGGTGCATAGTTCAAATAATGCAGATTCTGTGTTCCTCCCGGCAAAGAAACCATGTTGACAGGCACTAAACAATTTTTGATCTATAAAAAAGAATAGTTGCTTATTTACTGTTAGTTCAAATATTTTGGAATACGAGCTAAGGAGACTGTTGGGTCTATAATTGTATAACAAATCTGGATCCCCTTTCTTATAGCAAGGGATAATAATTGCATGTTTGAGATTTGAACGAAATTAAGTGTATTTAATGATGCATTGATTATGTGGGTTAGAGGTTTGCAGATAAAATGTATACATCTTTTTATTAGATAACTAGAGACATCATAACCTGCACTCTTTTTGCCTTCTATCTTATTCACTATTTCAAATATCTTCTCTGTAGTGCCTTCTCTAAATAAAAAATTGTTTTGGTTGTAGGGAATATTATAAACATACCTACTATGATTTGGAAGATACTGTTTAATTAGGTTACCGGCCATATCATTAAAATATTTAATGAATATATATTAGCACCTTCGTAAGGGTCTACAAATGATGGTTGTTGTGCTTTCTTATTTTGTTTACCTGTCAGTTCCGAGATTATCTGCCAGGAATTTTTTGTTTTATTCTTTATGTTTTGAAGTCTTTATTCAAAATGTTTACCTCTCTTCTCTTAGTAATTTATTATAACATTTTGGGCATTCCTAAACGCATCTTTATGTTCCGGTGATTGTACTGATAAATTTTGATAAAATAACAAAATCCCTAGCTATTCTTATTTCACGGGTGTTAAAAGTAAATTTAGGTTTATATTCATTTTGTGTTTTGAGGGGAGAGTGTTGAAATATAATAAAAATGTATTCATGAAATAGTTATATTTAAGGCCTACAGAGGTGTTTCTGAAAATGTCAGAAAAAAATTCACCTTAATTATAAATCTGACATAAACCAACTAAGTAACATTTATTGTAATATTCTAAATAAAATGTAAGTATCACTCTATACAATATTAAAAATCATTTAGTTTTATCTCACTATAATTATTTCTAGTCTACACTTTTTAATTTTATCAACTTGTTTAAATTTTTAAAGTGTCCACTGTCCGAAAGTTTGTTTAAGTGTAATGTTTTTATTTAAAATTTTATTCGGTTGACTCAAATCCTGTAAGTAGTAATTTTAAATTATTTTATTAGTGTATTGTTTCATTTAAAAATCTTGTAGTTCACTCCTGATGAAGCTATTAAACAATGGCGAAATATTGAGCAAGTAAGGAAAAGAGTTTTATTTCTTAGGACCGCTAACCTGATATTATCTTCACTTAAAAATATATATATATATATATATATATATATATATATATATATTTACGGTAACCATCCAAACCTGAACCAGAAGTAGTAACTTGTGTTAACAAACTTGAACCACCATCACAAACCTGAACCAGTATATTGGTTCAAGTTTGTTTTGCTGTGTTAAATTATTTAATACCCACTCTATGTTTAAAGTGAAACTTGATTTTAATAGTTCCATAATAAAGGAATCTGTAAATTATGTTTTCAAATCTTCGCACCCAACACATTGCCGGATATTCCCCCTTTTTTATTGGTTCAGGAATATACGAAACTCCAATATGTAGTTCAACAATTTGACGTTTGCGGCGCTTAGGTAGGTATTTGCGGTATATAATTATATATACGTATTGAAAGTAATTCCGTATCATCTTGAGCCAGTGAATGTGGCAACATTGCGTATTTACAAACATTTTATGTGCTTTCCGTTTTGTAGGAATCATTCAAAACAGAAGTAAGTCGAAAGAAACAAGTATAGTATTATTACATTACGTGTGTGGAAAGTGACATTTTTCACACGAGTGGAAAATATTATCGCACGAGGCACAAGCCGAGTGCGACTATCACACCAGTGTGGAAAATTACTTTTCACACAAGTGATGTACAATATTTTTCCTACGACCACAAAATAATTTCATCAAAAAATGTAGAACCAGGTTATTATTATAATAATTAAAATGTATTTAAAAAATAATCAACAATAATTGTATTTATGCAATTTTCATATTTTTTGAAACAAAAATTAAAAAACAAAAAAAAATTCTGCAACCACCAAGTTTTGAACGCGGGCCCGCGGACCCGTCGTGTAAGCCAAAGTTCAAATTGCAACTACCCTAAAACCTGAGCTAATAGGTCTTATGTCAAATGCATTTTTAATTCGATTTTAAGTTTAAACAGAATAAAAAGCCAAAATAATGAGATGTATGTAGTTATTTTAAAATTATTTTAATAATTGTTAAAAATAAATATCTAGGATCTAAGTTAATCGTCAATTTTAATAATTTAATCATAATATCGATTTTAGTATTAATATGGACATTACATAGATCAAAATAGAAATGATGTGTTTGACATTTTGTGGCAGCTGCTGCGGAAAGTAGCATATTCGTACACGGGTGGAAAGTAAATTCTTATTCATACGCGTGTGATATAGGGCACTTTCCATAGGATTATATAGTGTGATATGTGTCACTTTCCTAAGTGGTCGAAGGAAAAAATATTTTCATTTAGTTATTTTTCATAAAAAGGTCGAAATGGTCTGAAACCTAAAATGCAACTATGATATATTAAATTTTTACAGTAGTATACGAGATATGTCAAATAGGTAATTTTGCTGAAGAGTAAAATATCTTTATTTTTGACAAACCTCGTATACGACTGATAAAATTTGATATCTGATGGTAGTAGTTTAGGTTTGTGACCATCCTCGTCTTACTATATGCAGAAACCTTTTTTATTACTAATTTTATGAAAAAAGTTATTTTTCATAAAAAGTCGAGCATGGTCTAAAACGTAAAATGCAACCATCAAATATCAAATTTTATTAGTCGTATACGTGATTTATCAAAAATAAAGGTACTTTATTTTACAGCTAAATTCATATTATTTGATATATCTCGTATACTATTGTAAAAATATATCTGATAGTTGCAGAACTTTTTGTGAAGAAAAACTTTTTTCATAAAGTTAATAATAAAAAAGTTTCCCATATGCTGCGAACTTAAGTGGACACACTGTATATGCTTGAACTTTTGTAAATACCCGACTGTTAATTTCGACGTATTTGTGTTTGGGGACTTACCGCCGCTGACTTGACATCAGAGATAACAGAGATATAAGCAGTCATTCATAAAATATAATATTCATGGTGCCAACATTAGTTGGTACTGTATACATTCTATTTCTAGACGCGGGACGAGGCGACGAAAGGTGAGAAGTAAGAGAAGGGATAGAGTGAAGAATTTTACGTAGTTTTATCAATGAATAACTGCGCGAGCTTATACTACATAACGTAAATTTCCATGCCGGTGTAAGCCCTGTTGCCACTTCCAATCTAACATCACTAGGTTTTGGAATTTGTTGAAAATTATTACATCTAATTTAATGAAATTACATCTAATTTGGTTAAAAATGGCTATTTTTTGTTCTAATGCTCTATTAGGTCTTTGTAGGAAGTATTTTTTTATAATTATTTAAAAAAAATCATTTACATTAGCCCTTATGATCGAAAAAAAAATTTAAACGGCAATAGGTATCTCGGTTTCAACCGTCTACAAATTTGTATAAAAAATGTTCTTTTAGAAATATACCTCTCATTTGACGAAAAACGAAGGCATAAATGAAAAAAAACTATTCTTTATAAAAGTTTCGCCTATATATTGACAAGGTAAAAGTACTTTCGTCATATTTTTTGCTTTTAAATTAACAAAAATATAGCAATAAACAATTAGTGATGTCATGGTTTTACTAGAAAGCAAGCATTAAAGGCAGAGCCTCTCGACTCTTTATACATCTATCTCAGTATTGAAATGAATGCAATCAGTTTGACCCTCTTATAATATTTTATTCAGGGATTATTGATTTATCCACTATGAATAATAGGGTGTATTAATTACTACAAGATTTTTTTATTTTTGGTGGAAAATGAAAAATAAGAAAATATAAACTATTTATTGAAGGTATTTATTGAAGTATCAATTATAAACAGTAAGGCTATTGCTTTGCAAAATACAATAAATCCCCAATATAAATAAATTATAATAATAATAATAATTGGAAGGAAGTATATAAAGCATAAATTAATAATATTAAAATTTATAATTACACGACTTTCAAACTAATCAGAGAATCAGATTTACCACACGAATCAACATTTTTCAAAACATTAGCGGCTGTGCCATACAGGTGCAGAAACCGATACAGCAAATATTTTTTTTCTGTGTTTGCAAATTTTGCTTCCACAGTCTAGAACAAAATATTATTGTTAGAATATTGTATAGTATCTTTTTTGCATTTGCATTATGTAAGTTCTGTTATGTCTGGTGGAGGTCGGGCAGAGTCTTAAAAGTGGGTATCAGACTTCCATCTTGATCTACTTTCCATCCATACTCTTCAACATTAGGAAGCTGCATCTGGGTTTAAAGAGGTTAGCCAAATATTTAGCTGGTAAAAACATCTTAAACAATGTAGTTTTAGGGCGTCTTCAGTCGGTGGCAATTTAACGATGGTTTTTGAAGAGGCCAATAATCCTCTCAAAATGTTAATGGAAGTAACATTGGCAGTTTTGAATAAATTTTTATGAAAATTCTTTCAAGATTAGAGAATATGTTTTCAGAGTACTGATCAATGCCAAATCCATCCAAAAAGTAATGGTATTCAAGGTAGGTTTTCCAACAGGTTCTTTTCCCAATGCCGGACAATTAGCTGGTTGTGTTACAACCGGTCAGAGAATGAAAAGCAGGCACATTTTTTAGAAGGTTTTCATCCAAATTTAAATAATGTACTGCTAGAAATCGTCTTGAGTCTCCTCGCCCTGTTCTGAACCATATATCTTTAGTCAAAAACTTCTTAAAATAAATTAATAAGACATCTGTATCGTTGTAATAAATAATGCAGCGTGAATGCCCCGTATGTTTGGCTGACAATATGTACAATAAGATACGATTATTAGCGTCTTCGTGATTTGAATTTAAAAAATCGTCTTTTGATGGTTCAAAATTCTTTCCATATTTATTGATTTTCGCGAGTTTTGAAGAAGTTGCTCTAGCAAAAAATGTGTTAAACGTCTTTTGTTAAATATCGAATGAATAAACAAGTTCTATTATTGCGGAAGTGAAATATTGGGTCGGTCAATTTCTATATCAATTGATTTCTGAAATCCTCTCTTTTGACGTGTTGTATTTTTGATAGAATGTCCTTTATAATGATCAAATACCACATCTATCATTTGAACATTAAATTTATTTCTAAAAATAATGTTTACAAATATATGAGCATGTTCTTTAAATGATATGCAACTTTTGGGCTTTCCTATTTTGATATAATTTTAGTCTTTGCTACTTGCAGCAACAAATCCTTAATTAAAATTTTAAACGAAAACTTATAACTTACCCAAATATATTCAGCTGCAACAGGATGAATGTAGATATAATAAAGATGCAAAAATGTCTATATTTTTTCCCAATTTATTAGGTAATTTAATATATAACACATACACTTATTAATTCTTTAGTAAAAACAGATAACAATATGACACATTGCCCAATGGAACATAACGAGAAGTTTTATAATAAAAAAAAGTGAAAAATCCTACCATATCAATAATGTGATACATCAGCCGGCACGTAGAGAGAAACAGAGCTATGCTACGTTTGAAGGTGAAGAGAAAGATACACTGAGAGTCGATAAATTTGGCGGTGAGAATTAATAACAGCATAAACGTATGACATCTCTCATCGTTTATTGTTATATCTTTGTTAATTCAAAAGCAAAAAATATGGTGTTTACTCTGTTACCTTGTCAACACATAAGCAAAAATTTTATAAAGAATGTTTTTTTTTCATTTAGGCCTTCGTTTTTTGTTAAATGAGTGGTATATTTAAAAAAGACGACTTTTTAACTAAATTTTTGAAGGGCTAAAACCAAGATATTTACGTTTATATTTTTTTTCGGCCGTAAGTGCTAATGTAAATGATTACTCCCTACAAAGATTTTATTGTGCATTTGATCAAAAAATGAGTATTTTTTTCTCTATTCGGTGGTATCAATATCTGCATTTTTGATGATAATGCCCTTCTGCACATTCTAATTTTGTATTAACTCCGGAATAAGGGTTACCTTATCATGACCTTTCATCTGTGAAAAATTCAGCCTTGTGACAAAAGAGTGGGAAGTGAATCGTTTTCTTGAGCGAATATTTTAATACATACACTTTACTAACAATGACAACAGCGGATATTATGTCCTACTGTGTCCCTTAGAATATGTCTTATTCACGGCCGCACGATATTTGTTAGTAGTTACATCTCCTGGTTATCTCTGCTTGACATGTAAGAACTAAAAGCTGCGTATCTTACCTATTTCAAAAATAATATTGTTTTATTTCCAAATATTGTCCATATCTTAAAGTGGTCCAAAGTAGATTAAGAAGAAATGAGAGGACCAGAGATCTTATTGGTTAATTTGGGTTGGATTCCCTGTTAAAAAAATCTCATTAATAGATTTTTTTATATTTAGACAACTAATCATGCAGGCTGTTCAAAAATAAGGTTTAAAATAAGATTGAGAAAACTACAAAAAAAATTTTTTTATGGAAATTCACATTTTTCTCATTTTATAGTATTTAGTATCGAAAATAAAGTATGGAAAATAAGGTTGTCTACAAGATGGTCCGTTAACAATGGGACACAGAACATCTATAAATTCCTTGCATAAAAATCTTGCGATATAAAAATTTACCTTTGTTCAATTCTGGATATTGAAGATATTATAAGGTGTTAAAGTAGATACTTAATAAAATGAAGTGTCAAATATTTCAATCAAAAATACTGATATAAATGTATCTATTTTAACACTATGTATATTCTTTAATATCAAAAATTGAACTAAGGTAAATTGTGTTATATCGCAATACTTTTATAAAGTAGCTCTGAATCTCATTATTAACGGACCACCCTTTAGACGACTTTATACAAGTTTACCTTTATTTTAGATGCTAAATACTACAAAATAAGAAAAATGGGTTGTTCCATTTGAAAAATCGATTTTTGGCAGTTTTCTTAATCTCATTTTAAACTTTAAACCCAAGGAATCCAACCCGAAGTAGATATAAGGACTTCTTTATAGGACTAACTGATAATTATATGAGGGCTTACCAACGTCATTTTTGATATAAAAACTAAAATATGTAAAATCGCTCTGACTTAGGCATATGATATGATACATAAAACCTGCCCAGAATCTGAAGTAAAATTCAAATTTGTAATAATAGGATGCCGTATTTAAAATAAGCGACTTAAGATCTATTTCCGGTCAATAGGAATAGCTAAATGAGCCCCAAGACATCTTGCAAGTTCCCAGATTTTAATTTTTTTCCTACATCCAGTTCATGAGATATAAGTTTTTGTAAGTTTTTAAATTGTCAGCCATATGTGGTATGATTCCAAATAAAATTTTGATTATCAGAATGAACGGCAACAAACAACTTGATATTATTTATAAAAATCATCACAGAGGAGATAAAACTTTTATTTTTGGTACATTTGTAAAAGACATAAGTTTCAACTTTTTTTTATAAAAATTTACCCCTATCATTTAAACCAAATTTTGGAATTCAAACTGTTTTATTTAAAAAGTTTTAACCTAATATTTTGGGAATGCCACCCCCACTCTCCCTCTATGGGATGGTGGGGGGTAAGATTTTTATAGGAAAGCGTTGTAAATCTGGTTTATTGTAAAATGTCAAAAATTGATTTTTTATCTCACCTGTTAATTTTTTTAATTGCAAAGGTAAGGAAAAATCGTAGATTGTAAGTTTTATTTAAAAAGTTTTTTTTATCGGATTTCCTATTTATGAGAAAATACATCCATATATCTAGTTTGCTCTTAATATCTCGACCCAAACTGCCCTAGTCACAAAGTGATTTTAATGTCTTTACACAATCCAACTTAAATTATTTTAAATTTCAATTCAGAGTTTAGAATTATATAAATAGTTAAATTTTATGATTATTCTCGTATCACTAAATCGTAGATTTCATACTTAATTTACATTTGGCAACTGAGCGAAGGTTCAGAATTGTACGATTAGTGTGAACAAAACTGTATAAAATGGTTCAAGATTGTATCAATCTTCTAATGGTTCAGGATTGCACTGATCCAGTAAAATCTTTAGAAAAATTAAATTTTTTTAATGAAATATTCAGAGTATACATTTCATATTACAGATAAAGAGACCCTCTGTTTCCAATATACATTAAATATACTTATCCAACTTTATTATTTTTGGGTGGTTCAGGTTTGATAGAATCTCCAATTGGCTTGGGATTGATAGAAAGATGTAAATATATATATATATATATATATATATATATATATATATATATATATATATTTTTTAAAGTATTTTAGGTCGGCTTGTCTTTTGATATTTCTTTTCTTATTGAAGCTTGCTGGGTATATGCCACATCTAGCTGCTGAGTGGTTGCGTTTTCTTCTGCGCATCCTAATTGTACAGGTACAAATTACGTATTTTCAAATCATTTTAGATCGATCATAATTGTCTATATCCTTTTAGCAATATAAATATAAAGTGTCATACAGTTTTTTCGTTGCTAACTCCGTGCCAGATGCTATTTTAGTAATAACATTTTTTTTTTCTACATCCACATGGATATTAGCTTATCTACGCACAGATTACAAAACAAAAACGTATGCTATTGCCTTCAACTGAACGAATATATTTCATATCCATTCTAGGTAGTGAGAACACTGCAAAAAAATGAAATCCACCAATCACCGTTCATATTTTGATCAACCGACTGCTATTATTTTTAAAATTTTAAATAAGTGACAATTCTGTCAAACTAATTGTTAGTATATTTTTTAGTTATTGAAATTAATCATACATTAAAATTTGTTATTCTTGTGTAAAATCGATAAATAATAGCATTTCTGTTTTTATTTCGTCTGTAATTATAAATAATTTGTTAATTTAAATAAAACTATATGTCAGTTTAATTACGAATATTAATGCAACAAAAATAAAAATAGGTGGTGCTGTGGTCAGCGTTTTGTCCTTCCACGCGTAAGATTGGAGTTCGATTCTCGGATGGTGAAAGATAAAATTAACTTTTTTTTTCGTTTATTTTATTTTAAAAATTATTAAAAGTCATAAATTATTTTAAAATTAGTTGTTTTGTCTTAATAACCTAAAATACTTTTCTTATTTGTCAATTTTCGTTAGTGGGTCGTAGAAAAAATATACTGTACAACTGGAGTGGATTGTCCACATCGCACTCAGGCGATTGAGCACTCCGCCTACGGCGTCGTGCTCAATTTTCGTCTTCGTCTTTCAAATCATTTTAGCATACCTGTAATTTTAATATGATATAGTTATGCTATCAAAGAACTTAAAATTAATTTGCCATATATAAATTCAGTTGTATATAAGAAACCGGACCGATTTGAGTCTCTGAGATAGTAGGCGGTGTAAAAGAGTTCTGTCTGTCACTTTTTATGATGGCGTCGTCCATGTATCTCAATGTTACTGTGTTATTAGTTGTGTTCATCAAAGGGTAAAGCCAAATTTCGTCGTGATTAATAACGGAAAAATGTGTTTTTTGTGAAGACAAAACTGGAAAAATAATCATATACTGATGAAAAACTGAATAAGTGTGTGGACATTTTATATTCACGCATTAAGTTCAATTTAAAATATAGAAATGTTAGGCTACCAGATAGTGTTAATGATACTGATGAATACCATAGACAGTGTTATAGCAGTTTTACATCCTTGATGTCTAAATATCGTAATCCAAATCCTATACTGCAGATTAATTCTCCTAGTACATATTGTCCAACATTTTCATATTCTCCATTTAATGTTTGTTATACTACTCAAGAAAATATTACTCCAATCGTTGATAATAGCTATCTAAATACGTTTGCATCTGATTTAGCAATTGACTCCTTTTATAAAATTCCAGAGTTGGAAAAAGAAAGTGCGACAGAAAGAAGTGATAACCTTAAAAACGTATGCTTTTTTCGAAAAAGACCGAAAGCAAATTAAAGGAAAACAGCAAACTTTACATTCTTCAAAAGATGAAAAAAATAATTGAATGGATGACATTAGATCATGATTAACTGTTAAAAAAAATCAATACTATAAAATCTGCGGGTGGGAGTCTATGTTACCATCATTTATGTGAATTAGCATATACGAATAACTACAATAAAACAAAGATAATTCACGTACTACATGGCATACAAACAGATATTCACAAAAAAAATTTTCGACAATATTATGTTTTTAATTGATTCAGAGGTTATAAAAAAATGTTGCTATTATCATCGCTTTGTGATATTTACAATAGTAACTTATAGCATGAATTAAAACAACAATCTTTACCGGAATCAAGTTATATGACTCATCATAATCTTGAAAATAAATTATTAAAAAATTTCCCAAAGACCATTAAAATTCAAACAAAAAATAAAAAAAATTATGCACATGGATAGTAATTTAATAGAAGAAAACGATTTAACAGATCTTGAAGAGAATGATTGTATTGAAAAGGTAGCATTAATCCTACGAAAAACGATTTTAAATATTAATAAATTTAAATTAAAATCAAAAATTAAGGCGGAGGATTTAATTAATGGTGAGTGTTCCATTCCAGAGAAATTGGAGCTGTTTTATAAAGTCTTGATTGGAGGTCAAGATATTCGTCGAAGAGATGGTGTCAGTTGTGACAGATTGACTAATTCAGTGGCCTCAGACGCTATTTTTTGTATCAATAATGGAACTGTTAAACCGTTTAAACACATAACCCTTGGTTTGACTATAAAAAGTCTTACAAATACTCGAAAAGTTATTAATACTTTAAATAGATTTGGACATTGCTGCACTATAACACTCTGGAAGAATTTGAAACTGAAGAAACTATAGAATCTGTTGATTATTCACAAATAAGTCCTCCTGACATTATCCGTTCTCCATTATAATGTACAGGTGTGGCATTCGATAATTTTGATAGATTCGTCAATACCCTAAATGGAAAAGAAACTTTACATGACACTGTTGGAATTATATATCAAAATATTGATAATAATGTCCAAGAAGAATTGAATGTCAGTAATAATTCTGAAGAAACGCTACCAGGACCATAAAAAAAAAGAAGACGTTTAAAACTGGTTGAGAAAGATCAATCTAATTTACCAGAAAACTTTACATTAATGCAATCAATTGATCTTCTTCACCTGGTGTCACATTTTTTTCATGTAACAAACAATCCAATGTGGACAGGTTTCAATTGTAAGCTACTACCAGATAATCGCTTAAAACAAAGAGTTTCATATTTAACACGCATTAATCTATCACCAACCAATACAGCTGTCGTGGTAAATACAATGGAACAGGCACAAGCAATAGGTAAAGAATGAAATCAAACGTATGTACAATTAAGTCACTTATGACTTGGCAATATCCAAAATTGCATTAAAAATACAAGCAGTAGAGCAGCCTGATTTAATAATCTTTTTATAAATCTGGGTGCATTTCACTTAATGATGGCTTCTTTAAATCAATTGGAACGTTTATTAATGAGTGTGGATTATCTCATATGATGATTGAAAGTAAAATCATAGTTAGTGGATCAGTTAACGGAATTATTGAAGGAAAACATTTAAATCGTTGCAAACGTCGGCGTCCTTTAATGGCTCTAGGCTTACAAATGTTGTGTTTTGATCTTAAAAACTAAAAATACTGAATTGATTTTCTCAAAGAAAAGATTTACGACGATCTTTTAGAGTACCAATACACAAATCTTCTACCCTCAATTTAGTCATAGGAACTCTTAACTAATGGCATATTATCTAAACTTTTTTCTTCGTACAAACAATATGTAAATCGAACACTGCGAGGCGATCATGGGAAAACAGCTCATTACTACATGATTTATATGTAGTTGGTTAATTACGTTACTTTATCAACAAGCATACGCATGGGTGATTTTGAGATGTTCAAATATATAATTCCCAAAATAACTAATTTGTTTTTTATGGTTAATCAACAAAATTACGGTCGATGGTGTGTTAAATATTTGGACAATTTAAATAACATTAACGAAACGCACCCAGGACTTGAAGATTATTTTAAGAAATTTTTCTTTGGAATTAAAAGTACCGAAAAGTCTTTTTCAAGAATACCAATAGATCTTACATTGGAGCAAACTATTATAATTTGATGCAGCTAGATGATCAACTGGAATTTCACATTTTACTAACTCCATAGCAGCCGTCAACGCTGGACAAAAAGCCACATCATTAGAGCTGGAGTGCGTTTAGAAACCCCGCACGGCGCGTCTGACCACATGCATTAGAATAGGGCCCAGACGCGCCGTGCGGGGTTTCTAAACGCACTCCTGCGTTAATTTCTCATGTTCTTGATATTTGTGGCTTAAAACAATATCAAGACGTTCATGTTACACCAAATGAAAGTCGCATTGACATTATATTTGATCAATATTTTACACCCTCAATTAATGATTGTGAGCGTACACTTGATGAATCGGCCAGCCCAGTTTCGATTGGACCTAATCAAATACGACCTCATAACTTTGTTGTTCAGCTCAAAAATATTAAATTCAAAGAAACTCTAGTTAATTTTTTTATTAACCACTGTTCTACTGACGATATGGCACCTTTGATTGGTAATAAAACAATTTACTTAAGTTTAAACGAGTGTTACTGCTATCGGGTTGAAGATAAGGTAATTATGACCAAATATGATCTATTATCATGTGAAGAAAACGAAGAAGCAGATTCTAGGATTATATATATGATTTGCTGTGGGCGTAGTTGTAAATGCCCCTGTTATTATTAGACAGGCTAGCAGTGGCGGTTTGCCCGTAAGGGCACTTGGGCACGTGCCCTAGTATAATAATAATAATAAAAAAAATAACTTACATATTTTATATTTTCCTCAAAGCCTATAATTATTTTATCTAATATTCAGCGCAAACCGCGTTGGCACGACACTGGACGACCGGGCGTTGAGCGACATTCCGAGATTAAGTGGAAGATGGGCACAGTACATGTGTGCCTCTGTTGTTTTCTCTCTCATTATGATGCGAAAAACAAGGACAACGACAATATCGCTTAGCAAGAGATGAACACATGCGATGGATTATACGTCACAAGCGGGGCTCTGTCCCATTCTCTGTCCTTATCGTGACGTGCTGTGCCCATGGCACAGATTACCTAGACCAGATACGAATGTACGCGGCGGCATCTTCAACGGCTGCCTCTCACAAAGGCGATGCAGGGTTTCGTCTTAAGGTGCGCGTTTGTTGGACCATGATAATAATTTATTTATTGTGATTACGAAAAAACGTTAGTTGGACCATTGGAATAGTTAAGAAATAAAACTACAAAGAAAACTAACTTTTTTTTTTATAAAGCAGTAAAAAATATGATGAAAAAAATCAATAATATTTATAAATGATACAAAATTTTAATTTTTCTTTTGGTTTTGTCTGACTTTTTCGAGGATTTCAAATCTCTGTTTGCATATTTAAGAGTATAAAAAATTCTGAGTCTTATAAATAATTTAATGGTGTACATTTTCGCAAATTGTTGGCAATGATGACCAAATTCTATTCTGCTCATCTCAAAAAGGTATGCATTGGAAATTCCAGGCTTAGATAACAAACTATCAAATACAGATATAAATATTTTTTCTAATTTGAAAATATAAAAGAGAAATTTTTCGCTGGGAGATTTTAAATTGCCAAACATCTTTTGTTCAGAGTCGTATGCTTTAAAATGCGTTATCAAGTTAGAATTGTTAAGTAAATTGCATTCTTCTGAGAAATTTACGCAAATTTCGCAAGAGTGGATATGTAATGATTTTTTGATTAAATAGCCACATACATAGTTAAATGCATTTTGAGTGGTCACATTTAGCTCCCTGTAGTCATATTCATAAATCATTATTGCCCCAACTGATTGTTTTGAAATATAATTAATTTTCATTAAGCGGAGAACTTGTTTTCCTAAGGGAAAAATGAATCCCGGGATTCCTTTCCAGTGTGTGCCCCACTGCCGCTAGTGCCTACAAACCGCCACTGCAGGCTAGTCTTTGTACATTGTTTAATTTTCTGTTAGCTGTTATGCTTTTAGTCTTGTGCCACCATATGACTGGTGAGTAAGTTATAACAGGTACTACAACCATAGCGTAAAGCCAGTGCATCATACTTGGTTTAAGCCCCCATATAGCCAATATCACGAAGTGACGTAACTCGAAAAAATTGAAAATTGAGATGTCACATAGGTAAAAAAGTATGTTCTACAATTTCACGAAATTGCGTATTTCAGTTCCTTACATTTATTAAAAAAGCACGTATCTAACCGGTGTATCTCATAATAAAGTTGTGAAAATCGAGTTAGGTCACTTCGTAATATTGGCGACGATATGTTCCCTACCATCCGTCTACAGGCTCATAGTATTCTTACAGCTTTTTTTTGTTTTTTTCTATATGAATGTAGAAGCTAAGCTTGTCATCAAGAGTGATTCCAGGATATTTAACCTCTTTTGCCATTTTTAGGTGTTGTCCCCACATATAAAGCTCCTTCATTCCTTGAAGATTCCTTTTTCTTGTGAATGCAACAACAGAATAGCGGGTTTGTGGACAATATCTCTTTATGCACCATTTTTCAACGATATTTAGTGCCCGCTGCATCCTTACGGATACAACAGACCCAAATTTACCGTTTACTACGATGCTTATGTCGTCTGCAAATGCTTGCGTGTAAAAGTTTTCTCCCTCCAACTCCCATAAGAGTTCATCAACCACCAAGGTCCACATAAGAGGAGATAACACTCCTCCCTGAGGGCATCCCTTGTTAACTGAGACCTCTCTTGTTGTGTTAAGTAAATTACTGAGTACTGGTAATGGGTTTCTATAATTTATCCAAGATAATATAACCCTGTATATTTCTAAAATATTGATTTTTATAATTTCTAATGAAATACTCAAATTCACCCATCAAAAAACAGATGTCTAACCCGTCTTTCAGGGTGAATGCCCGAAGGACATGTGGTTTATTCGGTTACATTGATAATATTTTGGAGAAAATGTAAGGCCTTTGTTCAGACGAAACACCGGTGATATCTCACATAAACCTTTTGGACTCGTCGTTGAAAATAGACATTAATACTAGACATTATGTACTAATTTTATCTAGTGTTGTGACGGCGTCAATTTAGGTACGTCGCAGCGTTGAGCATCGAGGCGCCTAGCGTCGTAGCGGAGAGGAAGGTATTTATTACGGTACTCCGTCGGGACAGATATACGGTAGAAAATACTTGGTGGTGCTGCGCGACGAAGGGTGTCTTCAAGGATATTATGAAGGAAATATTCAGGGACGGCAAGCCTCGGGAAGTAAGGCGTGGGGCGTTGGCCGTCGGGACGTGACAGCGTTCGGAAGATAGGTCGTCGAGACGAATATAAGATAGGAAACACTTATGTGGTGTGGGACGTGACAGCGTTGGGATGTAGAAAGGTAGGGAAGTAGGACGACGGAACATTGAGCGTCGGGCTGTTGGGCGTCAGGACGTCGGTCGGCAGCGTTCGGGGCATAGGAGGTATTGTAGGATAGACGTCGGTTAGGAAGAGCATAGATTTAGGAAAGGTACTGAATTTGCAATATAACTGGATACAAAATAATAAATGAATTAATATAAAATCATAATAAATTAAAACAATAATCTGCTTGAATATAAAATAATAATGCATCTCTCGAATTTTCGGGTTCGGGTCATTATACCCGTTTTAATGGATTTTTGTGACGTCAATTTGTCGTAGATCCAGTGGGAACGAATTTGGGTGGATAAAAAGGGGGGTAGATTTATTATGTGCCTTGAGAAATTCTCGGAATTTTGTCGAG